CAACAGTGCAAAATTTATCAAATGTAGTTCTAGCCATATGTTTTACACAAAATATTACACACACACATACACACACATATATGTTAAATATATATATATAATATATATAATATATATATATATAATATATATATAATATATATATATATATATAATATAATATATATATATATATAATATATATATATATATGTATATATATATATGTATGTATGTATATATATGTACATACATACTGCATGTATTATTTAAAATGTTACAGTATTTAAATTGTGCCTGGGGCATCTCATGACAAAGTTTACTGAACTTAAACTACTGTCTCCCTACTTCGCTGTTTTTCACTTATCGCGGGTGGGTGTGGTCCCTAAAACCAATAATAAACGAGGGACTACTGTGTGTGTGTTTATACACTGTATTTTTCGCTGTTTAAGTCAGGTTTTTTTTGTGCATAATTTGCATGCCTTGCGACTTATATGCCGAAGCAACATATTTATGGATTTTTTTCCCCTCATATTTAAAAACCAATTTTTGGCTGAGATATGAGTTTTCATTCATTCTGACTGAAAAAATTTGAATGCTACCATTTTCAGCCGCGAGATGGCACTCGAGTATTGAGGTATGCCGTTGTATCATGTAATAAGTAAAAGTGGCTATTTATGTCAATAAAGATTATAGTAAATATGTTATTGGTGACTATAATAATATAAGGATAATATGATTAATATAAAAACACCACTAGTTTTATGTGTTTGTAAAATATGCTAAAAGCCTTGTAAGTCAGGGCAATTTTATTAGTAACTTGTTAACTTTTATATTATTTGTAAAAGCTGTTAATTTGTATCTACATAAAGCTTAAAGCGGTTTCATGATGTATTCATTACTGACGTTTATCACAACCTCCTTTGTTTAAATAAGCTGTAAGTCATAAAACAAACTTTAAAACACTTCATAATGAAAAGCTCATATTGTCATCTTTGTGCAGAGATGTGCTGTTTGATCCTGCATGGCTGAACACAACCAGGTGTGAAAACAGAAAGAACGATTTGTTGTTCTCCATGAGGGAAGTGGCGCCCCTAGAGGTTATCTGGTTACATACACACTAGAAATACTTTTATAATAATAATAATGTAAGCAATGTCAAAATATGAAGATTAATGTGCAACAAATAAGATAAGATAGAACTGTATTGATCCCGCAAGAAATTGTTGTGCCAGAGTTTCAGTACAAAGGAACATACACAAGAAATCACAAGATTAAAAAAATAACAGAAAATATTTAAAAAAAATAACAGAGAATATAAAATAAATATATAAAAAAATACCAACAATTAAGTCCTAAACAGGTCAGGTGCAGTCAGAGACATGAAAGGGTACAGGATTCATTAATTGATTAATTAATAAGATGAACATTCTGACTGTACAGTATAATATTTTTGTTTTCTGTTTCAATATATAATTAAAGCACAGTTTTGCACAAAAACTGAAAAACAAAATAATTCTGAATTAAATACCAAATCAACATTCTGGTTAAGACCAGGAGAGCCAAGCTCCAGCTACTGACCGACAGAACCATAGCTCAAGATTGTAAGACACAAACCTGTGCACCAGCTGGATGGACTAGTTGGGGACTTTTAAAAAGACATTTGAACATAAAACAGAAACATTATCTCTTGTTTATTGTTATGTGAAGGAACATCAATAATAACACGAGTGGTATTATTATAATTATTAGGTTTTGTATATCTATACGCACTAAACATTTAAGACTGGTACCAATTTCAGGAACTGACGAGCTCAATGAGGTGTTTTTGCAGTTGAACCCTACATTGCAGCAATTCTTCTTAAATATGTGCAGAGTTTTCAGACAAGTTTGATATAAATAAACACCAGATGAGAACATAATTCTGCTGGTTTTGACTCTGATAATGTAATTGATAACTGTCTCCTAAATAATAACACAAATCTGTGACTTCCAGTTAAACTTTTACGTTAAAATGTAATTGTATTTGCACACACATCCACACACAAAACAACCTTAGTACTAAATACTTACTTGGGCACATTACAACTGAGATTTTGCTGTTTACACCCGAACTGAAACGATTTTGTCAGATGAGATGAGAGGTGTACGGTGGGCGAGTCGACAGGTGTAAACGCACAGCAAACGGTTAAAAAGCATTGCAAACACATGAATGATGCAAATTCCAAAAAAAAAAACAAAAAAAACAAGTGAAACAGAAAAATAAGACAAAAGGAAAAACCTGCAATCACAGAAAATAGAAGAAATATTCAACCAAAAAAAGAATGTAAAGGAAAAATGCAGCCAATACCAAAAACACTAAAAAACACCAAAACAACTGCAAGTAAGAAACGCTGCAAACTCGAAAAAACGGAAGTTCACCAGGCCACTAAGGGGACGCAACCGCCAAGTCATATGGGACCAGAACTCTGTAAATACACAACAGCTGAGCGGCCAGTGGCCAAAAAGTGGCTTATTTTAGGAGTTTAATGTGCACCAAGTACTTAAAGCTTCAAAGTATTTTATTTTAAAGATAAATTATTTCTGGTCATTTTAAGCCTGGATGTACAAAAATCAGAGAGCTGGGGCTGAAATAGTCTTGAGAAAGACGGTACCCCAAATAATTTATGGCAAAATCATAAATATCACTGTTTTGGCTAAGTAAAGTACCAAGATTATTTAAAAAACATATTTTCTGTCCAATTGTATCCTTAATATATTGGCATTAAGGTAGAAAATGTTTACTTCATAAAGATTGTTGAACTTGGTTGAAAAAAATTTAGAAATATAGATTTAAATATTAGCTTGTTTTGTACATTGATAGAGACCTTTTTACACTGACCCAAACACTGTCAGAGATATAGACACATAATATACACTAAAATTATTGGAAGTATTTCTACTTTACATTGGCAGATCTTAGAAATGTGCCAAATCATCTTATGCCTCTTTTCCATTAGTACCGGTACAGCACGGTTCGATTCGGTACGGTACACATTGAGTTTCCATTATGTATTCAGTACCGGTTCCAGTGGGCGGGGCTCAAATTGACGTCATGTGCCTTACCAGCTGGTGGCGGTGAGATTTTGAAACAGGTTTCAGTACAGGGTGAGAATTTATTAGAATTTTGGCCGTGTAGACCACCGTACAGCAAGCTAGTTAGCCAGCTCCCTTTATCTGAATGGAGTCTGCTAGCATGGAGGATGGAGACGGCGCGATTCAACCTGCTTCTTCGTCTTTAAAAATCATTTCGGATCCTACAATGTTGCGGGCAAGACAGAGCTTAACAAAAGCAAGGTTGTTTGCAAGAAGTATAAAATAAAATTGCGGGACACTATTTTGGAAATGCGACAAAATGTGAAGATGAAAGCAAAAGCAGCTGACCAGCGAACTCTGCAACAAACTTCCAGGCTTCCCCAAAGGCTGCAAAGATTTCCCACTCCATCTCCTGCTATATCACAAAGGATTTACAAGCAAACAGCTCAGTGGAAGGTGAGGGGTTTAGGTTTATTTTTAATACGCTGAACATACGTTATTCCTTCACGTAGATTTTATTTTTTTTGCGATAAAGCAGCACCGCAACTTCACCATGAAACAACAGATGGAAGAAGCACTGATGCAGCTGCAGATCAAAGGTAACTGTTTTTTCTCACATAAAACTTATAGACAAGTTATACAACAAACTTTAAGCAATTTGTCTTTTTAACAGGTTGGAGAGGCCAGCTGAGACATCACCTGGAGCCAGTTCTAAATGATAGTTTATGGTTTATAAATTACATTTCAGAAGACGTTTTTGTGCAAACTTGCACAAGTTTTGAAATTTTGCTAAACACTTACTAAATATGAATCAATACGGTTAAGACTGTGAAGTCTGTATATTTCATATTAGGTCAAGTTTTGAAAATATAGCAAATGTTAGAGCAATATGGTTAAAAATAACTGAAGTCTGTATTTTATGTTGAGTTAAAGGTTAATGTACCATGTATTGTAGGCAGAAGTCTGTTTACTTTTGTATTTATATATTTTGAATTATTTGTATGTGATGGACTGGAGACATGTCCAGGTGTCCCCCACCTCTCACAGAGTGATGCTGATATGGGCACTAGTGACACCCGTGACTCGAAAAAGAAGAAGTGGATAAAGATGATGGATGGATGAATTATTTGTTTCAAGATTATTATTTTTTGTTTTTTAGTAAAATTCAGGCAACTAAGCTAACCTAATACTGGTAATTTAAGTAACAGAATTTTATGCACTCCTTTATTTTTTCCTATTTTTGGTACAAATATGAAACAAATAAAAAATATTTGATACAGTAAGGAACATAAAATTATTGTTTTAAATAAATGTTCTATTTGTTTACATTGTTGTTAAATCTTTTCAGCTTGTCAGTTACATATACATTATAAATGAAACAAAATTTATGACCATTTCAATAGAAAAATCGTTTATGAATCGAAAATAGTTTCCGAATCGGGAAAAAAATAATCGATTTTGTATCGTATCGTGACATAAAAATTAGGAATCGAATCTGATCGTCAGACATGTTCAATTTAGATATGTAGGTTTGTTTCTTGTTCAGATGTTTTATTTTTAGCCTTTCTTTAAAGTTCTTGTTTTGTGATTTATACATCTGTGGGTTAAAATAAAGTTTAACTAAAGGCCGTAGCTCTTCTTTAAACATATTTGAGGGAAATATTCCTGACAGATCTAATAATTGTGTGTCTTTTTATGGTTTTTCAGCTGAGTTACCTTTAACAAATTATTTAATAGTCATTAAAGTGAAAACAGGATTTCATGACAAAGCCGGCACCATTTATTTATTTTTAATCTTCACTGATTAAAAAAAAACTTGTTTTTAATACATAAAACATTTTTAAAAATCGTTTCCACACTCCGTCCCAGTCCGCCCGTCTGCCTGGATTGGGGTTTGACTTTCACGATCACTCGAGGCCGAGGTCCGGGCAACAGCTTTCTGTGAGTCAGCAGCTCGTATGATCCTCCATGGTGACCAGCAGAGATCGGAGCCCACAGAGCACGCAAGGCCGAGATCCGAAGCCCAAGCCCCGAGTCAGCAGCATGGAGGATCTGCTGCGGTGACCGGCAGAGCTTGGATCCAGGGAGATTACACCCTGCATGACCTGAGGGGGCTCCAAAACTCCGGTGGAGAGGACTGGGAAGTCAGGGACCGGCGGAGCTCCATTCTAGCTCGCTATGAATTCTGTCGTTGGCCACCAAGCACAAAAAACGCCTGCACTTTAAGCATTAGACCGCAGTGTTGTCATTACTGTTTTTAAAATCTTAAAAATAGGTCCAATCACTCCTTGAGTTCGAACACTGGTAATTGCAAATGGCGGATTGAGTGTTGTGAAAATTCTCAAACCCCTCTAGTGAATCCGCCCCCTGACCAATCAGTGACCGACAGTGTTCTGACGTCACGTTTTGGTGCCGGCTTGGCTCGCTTGGTATCCTTGAGAAGAAGGGACCAAAAAAAGTGCCGGTTCCACGAAAAATTCATAGTGGAAAAGGGATCAAAACCGTACCGAACTGAGTCAAGTCGTGCTGATAAGGTACTATGGAAAAGGGGCATTAGCTGGACTTACTGCTGGTTTTGATAACCTCACCTCCTAATTCCAATTACACATTGTGGCAAAATTATCTAATGCTTTCTTTTTCATGTTTATCTTAATATAATGTCTCTGGTTTTCCTATGAAATAGCAAATTACATGATTTAAAGCCATTGTCTTGCCCATGTTTAATTTTCTGCCTTTCCTTTTAACAATAGCGACTTTTTGTTTCCTTACTGTACCAAACTTTTACTCGTTTGCACCCGTCACCCACCGTGGAGGCAAGACTCTTCAGCGACTAGCCGTGAAAGCCATACCTCTGCTGGGGTAAGTTGAACTAGACTTTTTCAGAAGCTCACATATTAAAAAAAAAGTGAAGCACCACCTAGTGGACAAAGATAAAAATAGAAAGTTTGGTAACAAAGGTACAAAGAAAAAATATTACTGAAAGGAATGTGTTATTTTATGACATGAGATAAAAACAGAAAAAACAAGGGTTATTATTCACAGCTAAACTGCTTTTCTCTGGTGTGAATTCCCATGTGTCTGTTTAAATTAGACTTAAGTCCAAACTTTTGTCCACAAAGATCACAAACAAATGTTTTCTGTCCTGTGTGGACTATCATGTGTCTGTTTAAATGTGACTTCTGTCCAAACCTGTGTTCACAAAGATCACAAGCAAATGTTTTTTGTCCCGTGTGAACTATAATGTGTGCATTTAAATCTGACTTTCGTCCAAACTTTTGTCCACAAAAATCACATTCAAATGTTTTCTCTCCTGTGTGGACTATAATGTGTCTGTTTAAATGTGATTTCTGACCAAACTTTTGACCACAAAAATCACATTCAAATGTTTTTTGTCCTGTGTGAACTATCATGTGTCTCTTTAGACTACCCTTTGTGTTAAATCTTTTTCCACAGTCTTCACAACTAAACTGTTTCTGTCCTGTGTGAACCATCATGTGTTTCTTTAGATGACTCTTCAGGTTAAATCTTTTTCCACAATCTTCACAACTAAACAGTTTCTGTCCTGTGTGAATTATCATGTGTGTCTTTAGATTACTCTTTGAGTTAAATCTTTTTCCACAGTCTTCACAACTAAAACGTTTCTGTCCTGTGTGAACTATCAAGTGTGTCTTTAGATTACTATTTGTGTTAAATTTTTTTCCACAGTCTTCACAACTAAACCGTTTCTGTCCTGTGTGGACTATCATATGTGTCTTTAGATGACACTTGTGGTTAAATCTTTTTCCACAGTCTTCACAACTAAACCGTTTCTGTCCTGTGTGAACTATCATGTGTCTCTTTAGACAACCCTTTTGGTTAAATCTTTTTCCACAATCTTTACAACTAAATGAATTCTGTCTTGACTGTTTTTTCTTGATTGAGCCTCCAGTTTTCTTTACTTCAAAACTTTCCTTGATAGCCAAACAATTTGAAGACATCACTGACTGACTTGTCTTGTGAAACGGTTTCTCATGCTCAGTGAAGCTGCAAGATTTGTTGACAGTGTTTACACCTGACTCAGGAGCTCTGCCCTCCTTCCAGTCTTTGTCACTCTCTTCAGATTCTGACCCAGAGTCTGATAACTGAAAGTCAGAGTCATTCACATCATCACCTTCATCATCCTCACTGACTTCAGTCTCTGAAGAGCTGCAATCATCTCCATAAGTATTTAGATCTGGGTTCCTGGTAGTCTCTGCTCCTCCACAGTCCTCTCCACCAGTTGCTGCTTTTATCTGGTCAGCTGAGCTGCTGGATGGAAGCTCTTCCTCTTTTAATTGGTGCTGATGAAGCTGTAAAACCAGAGGTTTCTCTTCATCTTTCTCACTCTTCAAAGGAACAGCAGTGAATGCAAACCCTGTGTCATCAGACTCCTTTTTCACACAAAACTGCTCTCCCTCTTGACTGGTCCACAGTTCCTCCTCTTCCTCCTTTATGTTGAGGGTCTCTGGATCCTGTTGTTCCATACCAAGTATCTGTACTTCAAGAGCTTCTTCTTTAATCAGCACCATCTGCTGAACCTCTGCAGGGAACACTGAAAACATGAACATCAGGCACAATTATAACTTTATATTCACACATACAGTGGTGGCTGAAAAATTTGTGAAGCCTTTAAAACTTTCTAAATTTCTACATGAAAATTACAAAACATTAGATTTTCACACAAGTCCTAAAAGTAGATAAAGAGAACCCAGTTATATAAGACAAAAATAATATTTTACTTGGTCATTTATTTATTGAGGAAAAAAATCCAATATTATGTTTTTTCCTGGGATTTGTCAAGCTGTTTCATCAATAATACACTAAATTAAATGAAATGTTGACGAGAGCATGTAGTGTTCACATGAACTAAGTTTTAATTTACATCCGTCCGTTGCCATTGTGAGACAAACTGCCTCAAGCTGTTACAACGGGAGCTGGCTGCGGGTCATGGTTCACTGCAGCTAGCTATTGCTAGCCATGGGCCTCAGGCCTCCTCTTGGACCCAGGACCTGCCTCCAGCCCACGCTGCTCCCCCTGGCTTGGACCTCCCTCAGAAGCAGCACTCAAACTAACAATAAATCAAGGAAACGTGACTTCAGTTTTACCAATTGTATTAAAATCAAGGCAGGAAAAGGTTACAGTTTACAGCGCTGGCCAGTCCAGTCTATGAGGCAATCAGAAACTGGATGGGTTGATGTCCCGTGTCATTACTGATTTATAGGGCCTAGACTCCTCCTTCGCAGAAGTGGAGCACAACCTGTCAACACGTATGAGGGGGCGTGACGCAAGCGTGATCTCAACGGATCTTACGTGGTTTGACGTGTAAGGAAAAATGAGACTGTGCTTCAAAAGCCTTTCTACGCGATGTAGCAAGCAAAAATAAACTATTCCTTGACGGATAATGAATCCCTGGGAGTTCAATGTTTGAATAAACAAACAACGTGTAATTGTTACAAATAAAAACAACTGATTTTACTTATTTATAACAAATTATAGACCAGACTTTTGGTAGTGAATGATGCATATTTAGAGGTTTGTTTTATAATACAGTAATATATATGGTTACAATGATCACAATCAAAACAACAACTTTACAGAATTGAGCAATGCTCTAAAAGACCTCTGTCTCAAACATATTTAAACTGTGAAATTATTTTTGGAGGAAACCATTAAATGGTAATGGACAAATGGCTTGATAGAGGTCTATCAAAGTTGCAAAATCATCATTACAACTCCATTTTGTTTGAATTTTGTAATGAGTTCAATTTGAATGATATATGGCACACTTTACATCCAGAGGCACAAATTTTTACCTGGTTTAAACCAGATGGAACAATAAAATCTAGATTAAACTTTTGGCTTGTATAAGCTATTACACATAGCCTAGAAGTTAACTCTACTAACTCTGCTGCACCACTTACTGATCACTGCATTATTAAACTCACTTTAAATCCTACAAACACAGAAAGGCGCAACAAAGGATTTTGGAAATTCAATTTGAATTTCCTTAATCATGACTCCTTTTGTCAGAACATAAAAAGAACAATTGTTAATATAAACAAAGACTCATCACTATCAAATTATAGTTAAGTAGGATCACAAAATATCATTGTCATTGTCAATTTTAAATTGAATTTGTCAAATTTTAAGTCAAACCAGCAAACAAAGAGAAGCCAACATTGTAAGAGAAATTCATGACATTTGTAATAAAGCTTTATTTACTAAACAAAGATGACAAACGACAATTGATCCTCCTACACTCCTCTCTAGACAATATTTACATTAACAAAGCCAAAGGAGCCTACATCCAGTCAAAAGCAAAACGGATAGAAGAGGGGTAAAGACGTTCATATTTCTGTAGACTATGACAGGAACGAAATACAATAAACTGAATCATCGATGACCAGGAATGCATTCATCCTGTTAGAATTTCAAAGGCAATTGTCCTATTCTATAACTAATCCATAGGGTTCAATATGACGTTGGTCCACCCTTTACAGCTAGAACAGCTTCAACTCTTCTGTGAAGGCTGTCCACAAGGTTTAAGAGTGTGCTTATGGGGATTTTTGACCATTCTTCCAGAAGCGCAATTGTGAGGTCACATACTGATGTTGGATGAGAAGGCCTGGCTCTCAGCCTCTGCTCTAATTCATCCCAAAGGTGTTGAGGTCAGGACTCTGTGCAGGCCAGTCAAGTTCATCCACACCAGACTCTGCCATCCATGCCTTTATGGACTTTGTTTTTTGCACTGGTGCACAGTCATTTTTGGAAGAGGAACGGGCCAGCTCCAAACTGTTCCCACAAAGTTGGGAGCATGGAATTATCCAAAATGTCTTGGTACGCTAAAGCAGTCAGAGTTCCTTTCACTGGAACTAAGGGGCCATGCCTAGCTCCTAAAAAACAACCCCACACCTTAATCCCCCCTCCACCAAACTTTACACTTGGCACAATGCAGTCAGACAAGTATCATTCTCCTGGTAACCGCCAAATCCAGACTCGTCCATCAGATTGCCAGATGGAGAAACGCGATTCGTCACTCCAGAGAACGTGCCTCCACTGCTCTAGAGTCCAGTGGCGGCGTGCTTTACACCACTGCATCCAACACTTTGCATTGCACTTGGTGCCGTATGGTTTGGATGCAGCTGCTCGACCATGGAAACCCATTCCATGAAGCTCTCTGCGCACTGTTCTTGAGCTAATCTGAAGGCCACATGAAGTTTGGAGGCCTGTAGTGATTGACTCTGCAGAAAGTTGGTGACCTCTTCGCACTATGCGCTTCAGCATCTGCTGACCTCGCTTTGTCAGTTTATGTGACCTACCACTTCATGGCTGAGTTGCTGTCATTCCCAAATACTTCCATTTTCTTATAATACAGCTGACAGTTGACTGTGGAATATTTAGGAGCAAGGAAATTTCATGACTGGATTTGTTGCATAGGTGGCATCCTATCAGTTCCATGCTGGAATTCACTGAGCTCCCAAGAACGACCCACTCTTTCACAAATGTTTGTAAAAACAGTCTGCATGCCTAGGTGCTTCATTTTATACACCTGTGGCCATGGAAGTGATTGGAACACCTGATTCCGATAATTTGGATAGGTGATCAAATACTTTTGGCAATGTAGTGTATATATACATATACAAAGACATTTTAAACCCTTCCCACACTCTTGCAATATCCTAAACAATGTTTCTAAACTCTAAATGGTCTAAGAGGCAGTTTACATGGCGCATATTTTAAGTGAAACTGCACCTTTCTCTCTGTGGTTCTGCTGTTCATTCACACAACACTAGTATCCCCCCCTTTGAATCCGGAGGTTTCTCAACCCAACTCTGAGTGGAGGTTTTCGGGAGACCACCCGCTGAGAATCTAAAAATCTCCCACAGAGTGAAAGCATGTTTACAACAGACATATATTTCACGTTTGCGCGAACCAATTGCATATTTCCATAAACAACAATGGTGGCGGAGTATAGCATACTGCTTTTCTAAGCTACAACTGATTAGAGGTTTTCTTAAGGCTACACAGCTGTTCAGTCTCAATCCCTTGAGTTCCCTTCGCATTGTGTGTGTGGAAATGCTCTTAATTTCACTATTAAACATAGCCCTGAGTGCTACTGTTGTTTTTCTTCTATTTGATTTCACCAAACGTTTAAGTGATCGCCGATCACGATTATTCAGGATTTTTTTTTCTGGCCACAATTCTTTCTCGAAGACGATGGGTCCCCACTATCCTTCCAGTTTTTATTAATGGGTTGGACAGTTCTTAACCCAATTTTAGTAGTTTCTGCAATCTCCTTAGATGTTTTCTCTGCTTGGTGCATGCCAATGATTTGACCTCTCTCAAACAGACCGACATCTTTTCCACGACCACGCCATCTGTCTTTAGACATGGTTGTTCAAGAAATCAGAAGCAACTCATTGCACCAGTTGGGGTTAAATATCTTGTTGCCAGCTGAAAGATAATCACCCATGCAGTAACTATCCAATAGGAGGCTCGTACCCATTTGCTTAGTTAAATCCAGGTGGCGACTTTTTTTTGGGCCAGGCAGTGTATATAAAAATATCGGCATCGGTTATCGGCTATCGGCCAAATATTCAATACTGTGCATCCCTAATAGCACCAAGTCACAACAGAAAACATCTCAGGGCACTGAGCACAAACATTTATGTATAAAAATAATAAGTTAACAGACCTAATAACTTCTTATTTCATTAAGTTTTAGTATATTGAAAAATTATTTACAGACTCAGTTTCAGTCCCCACGATACCCCAATATGAAACTGCAGATATGTATTACATAACCACAAGTCAATACTTCTACAAAACTGGCTAGAAAAAGGCATATGGTCTGTATTGCACTTGATCATACAGGAAATGTTATACCATTTGAGAATTTTAGTTACAAATTTCCCAAAGGTTCTTAACAGAATATACCCTTCTGCTGATTTCCTATGTAAACATTTTGGTTTTCAGTTCAGTGATTGTTCATTCTGTAACAAGCTAGTTGAAACCAGAGTGGCCACATATTTTATGAATGTATATTAATGCCTTTTGAGATGATTTACATAACTGGTTATCTAAACATGGATTAAAACAGAAAAACATATTTTGACTGAAATTTTTTCTACACCTAGAGGTTAACCAACCAGTCTCGCCCATCCATCCATCCATCCAACCCCCACTCACCTCACACACAGCCCACAGTTGAGAGCTTTTTCCTGCATACAGTCACGTCTCAAAGGTTTACATGTAAAGAGTACAGTCCACAGATCCATCAATTATCTTTACCCGCTACTTTCTTTTTGGGTCTTGGGGGTCACTGGTGCCCATGTCCAGCCATCACTGTGCGAGAGGTGGGGTACACCCTGGGCAGGTCGCATGTCCATCACAGAAACCTACGCATGCTGCACGAAGAGAACATGCAAACTCCACCCAGAAAGGCCCCCCAGACTAAGATTTGAACCGGGGGCAACCTGCTTGCTGGGAGTACAGTTGTCCCTCATTATATTGCGGTTCACTCATTGCCACTTCACTGTATTGCGCAATATATTGGTATGGCCAATATAGGCCTTTGGGGACATATCAGTATTGGTGATAATGGTCCCATTTAGGGGTGCAGAAAAAAATATCAATTTTTTAAAGAATCTAGATCGGGGTGTCAAACCCACTTACAAAAGGGGGCCAAAATTAAAATCTTTTTCAAACTAAGGGCCGGCTTCAGGATCTACTTTAACTCAAGTTACATACCCAACATCTTTTCTTGGTTGCAGGTTCCTCAACAAGAGTTGGATTGGTCTCATTTGATGTTCTCTGCTGCACTTTTGACATCATAATAAAAGATTACTGAAAAAAAATTTAAGTGATAAAAGAATTTTACATTTAAAATAACATCTTGGGGGCCAGATAAGATGTCAACGAGGGCCACATTTGGTCCCCACGCCTCAAGTTTGACACACATGATCTGATTCTTAGTTCTGGCGATTATGAATTGATTCTAAAGGCCCATAAATCAATTTTAAAATGTGTTTAATTGTATTTTTCTCTGCTCCTACTCCCGAGTGTACTGCATATCGCATTACGTGTCTGCTCGGCTGCCGAAGAATTTTGACTGTGTAGGCCACCGTACAGCAAGCTAGTTGGCCAGCTCCCTTTATCTGAATGGAGCCTGCTAGCATGGAGGAGGGGGACAGCGCGATTCAACTTGCTCCTTCGTCTTTAAAAGTCATTTCAGATCCTACAATGTTCTGGGGGAAGACAGAGCTTATCAAGAGCACGGTTGTTTGCAAGAAGTGTCAAATAAAATTGTGGTACAGTAATTTGGAAATACAACAAAATGTGCGGAAGATGAAAGCGAAGCAGCCGGCTAGTGAGCTCTGCAACAAACTTCCAGGCTTCCCCAAAGGCTGCAAAGATTTCCCACTCCATCTCCTGCTATATCACAAAGGATTTACAAGCAAACAGCTCAGTGGAAGGCGAGGGGGTTTAGGTTTGTTTTTAATAAGCTGGACCAAATGTACGTTATTCCTTCATGTAGCTTTTTAGGGATAAACCTGCGCCACAACGCCAACATGAAACAAAATTAAAGTAATAAATAAAGCTCTGATTAATGCACCAGCTGCACCTCAAAGGTAACTGTTTTTTCTCATATTATACTAAATCTTATAGACATGTTATACAACAAACTTAATGTAATTTGTCTTTTTAACAGGTTGAAGAGGCCAGATGAGACACATCACCTGGAGCCAGTTCTAAATTATACAGTTTATGGTTTATAAATTACAGTTCAGAAGAGATTTTGTGCAGGTTTGCACCACTTGAAAATTGAGAGTGGAACTACATAAAGTGTGCATCTGATTCACTTACTGGTAGCTTCATGGTTGCTAACAGCTGCGCTAAATAAACAAGCCCCGATCCACTCGCCACTCCAAACAACTTCTAGTATGGACACAAATAATGCAGTCACCCCCAAAACATCAGTGTCGTGTGCGTGAATACAGGGTTTGCTCAGGCTATGTCTGTGTGAAAGGGCTAGAGCTTACTTACTGAGTAAACATTTAAATTAATATGAATCTAATCAAGCATAAATTAAGTCTAATTAATGTAAACAAGTAAAATCCCAAATGTCTGATTTTCAAAATTGCCAAACTAGGCAGATTTACTTTTTATATGTAAATAATTGTTTTACTCATTTTCTTATTTTTACAGATGTCAAAAGAAGCTCGTAGTAGGATGGCGTGGGACTACTTCACCAAGGATGTTCTTGGAGAAGGTTGTAACTTGTGCAATTTTCCTCTAGAGGTAACTGTGACGGACTATGAAAATATTATAAAAGCATAAATAATGGCCCTTTTAAGAAAAACTCAAAGTTCACCAGTAAAAAGAACGTTACATTATTAATATTTTTTTGCACTTTGTATCTAAGAACTGTCCTTTTGACAATACAAGTATTTCAAAAAGGTAAAATATTAACACATTCTTATCTTTGTAACAAGTGTTAAAACAGGTTTAAAAGTAGCTATTTACTTAAGATTATTGGGGGTGGACAAAGCTCTATTTTCAGCCATTATATTGGTTATCGGCACTAGCCTTCCCTCCCAATATCGGTATTGGTGATAGCCAAAATTTTCATATCGGTCGTGCTCTAATATGATGCGTTTATAAGAGACTGGGAAAGATTTGTAATAGTGTGGGAAGGGTTTATAAAGCCTTAAAAAAGAAGAAAATATAAATAATAAAATAAATATAACGCTGCTACTTAGCCGATTTTAAAAGTAAGTATGTCCATGACCTTGGTAAAATTCAATTCAATCTTTATTTATACAGGTTAGTCTCATTGGTGAGCCTCGAGAAACCTGTAATCCGTGAACTGCAACTTAAATCATCACACTGAAAAGCAACAATGTTTAGACACAAACCTTTTCCGTGAAGCAGAGCTTTTGGGTTGAAAACAGCATCTTGGGTTTTGTTGTGTTGCTGTTTGTCCTTTAAACGACATTGTTCCTCTTTATAATCTGCATCTGTTGTTTCCAGAAACTCCATTTCTTCCGTAGCCACTTCCTCTCGTTTGGCCTGATGTCTCTGTTACCTAAAGTTTCCTTTAAATAATAGTGTTGGAACGGGTACAGACGAAACGAAAACAATAAAATGAAGTTACTGTAAAGTTACAGAAAATCAACTCGTAGTCTAAAAGTACAGCACAATACCTTACCTTTTTTTTATCTTCATTAGCGTGATAGAAATACTTCCGGTCACTCTTCTTCTGGTGTTGTTCAGCTGTGTGCAGCGGTATCATTTGCTCCGCAGCGACACCCATTGTTTAAGAGAAGAACTGCAGAGAGTGCAGCATGTCTGAAGCATAGATATCACGTTTTCTGTCCTTCAGACCATATATGTCATATAAAGGACAGAAAACGTGAGGTATGGCTGCGGAAGTGGAAAACGTAGACAGTGAAAGGGATATGTATATATTTTTTGAAGCATTTTGTAGGTTCTTAAAAATTGTGGTTGGGAAATAATAGTTTGGTGCATTACCGCAAACAACTGATGTGGAATGTGGTTTATCATGTATATTGTGTAATATTTGTAAAATAAGGCCGTACTCTATTAATCAAGATCGTTTAGCTTTTTTGTTGTTGTTGTTTGTTTGTTTAAATCTAATTATAATTTATGCATGTTTGGTCTAGAAGTTTTTTTAAGTATGTATATTTTTAAAATCTTTTAAAATTATTTCCTCATATTCATTATTTCCTGTTCAAAGATCTGACATTTCAATACATGTAACACTTTTTTTTCTTCATTCAATCATTCATTCAACAGCTAAGTAGCAGCCACGGGGTCTACGCATAATTTCTTAATTCAAGATATCTAAAAATGCCATTCTGACTAGTCATAATTACGTTCGAGATATCTTGAATTGTAATTACGGATGTTTGACCCTTCAAATGACGAATCAGGTGACGTCATTTAAGATATCTTGAATTACATTTTGACTAGTCAAAATTCCTTTTAAGATATCTTGAATTGTTATTCTGACTAGACAGAATGTAAATACAGATATCTTAAATTAGCATTCTGACTAGTCAAAATGTAATTGTTCCTAGTCTAAATTCATTTTTAGATATCTAGAATGTAAATACAGATAGTCAGACTACTCGATTTTATGTTAAAAAGGCTTGCCATACCCGCTGCTTCACCATAACTACCCTGTGAGTTTGAAGCGTGCTTTGAAGCTTCGGTGTTAGAAGTAACTTCACTTTTTCACACCATTTCAGACATTAGTCACACTAATACTTATATTGTCTGCATTTGTTTTTGTTAACAGGACAGGTCATCATCAGTACCAGCTGAGGAGCTGTCCAAGAACACCTACAAAACTAATAATAAAATATTTCAATCGGTTTCTCCTTGCCATTCTTTCAGTTAAACTATTCAAACATCAGCATTTTAAGTGTACCAGAATAAGTAATGAAGACCTTCATTACAGGGACACGCTCACCACTCTCAGCAAGGATGAGAACATCATCATCCTTGCAAGATGAAGAAAGGTGCACAGTGATTTTGAACCAGAAATATTGAAATGAGGAAGTCATGACACTCTTTAGTGACTTAATCACTTTTGAGCTTCTGAAGAGATCCAGAAAGTGGTTACAAGAAGAAGTTAAGAGTGCCTGAAACATTTGGAGCAGGACAAGGCTTGACCGTATTCTGTACCACAGAGACTGTACCCAGGGGAGGCCACGCCTAGTCTGTATGATTTAACTTAAATTCACAAACAAGGTGTATCGTTAAAATAGATTAACATACCATACCAATTTATTTATAGAGCACTTAAGACAGCAACAAGGCCAACCAAAGTGTTGTACAATAGAAACAAACAAGCACAGCGGACAGGAAAACATAAAATAAAGTCCATGCTCAATAATCCAGGTTTACAATCCAACATTTTTCAGTCAAGTCATCTGGACAGTTTCTTTTTTTGTGATGAAACGTTTCACCTTCAATCCAGAAGGCTTCATCAGTCAAGGAAACACACAACACAAAACTGATTCTCCCCCCCAACAGCTTACTCCAAAGTGGAACAAACCAGCTATGTTGGTGCTAAGATGGTGTCTTTGGCATGCCCCCTCCTCCATTGCCAGCCCTCTTCCTTGTTGAGAGTCGTGTCAAACTGGTTGAATCAGTTCTGTTTTAATATATTATTAAAGCACAATTTTACACAAAAACTGAGATACAAAAAAAAAATCATTCTGAATTTATACCAAATCAACATTCTGGTTAAGACCAGGAGAGCCAAGCTCCACCTCCTGACCGACAGAACCGTAGCTCAAGATTGTAAGACATAAACCTGTGCACCAGCTGGATTGACTAGTTGGTGATTTTTAAAAAAAGACATTTGAACATGAAACAGAAACATTCTCTCTTGTTTATTTTTCTGTGAAAGAACATCAATAATAACACGAGTGGTATTCTAAATTATTAATTTTTCTATATCTATATGCACTAAACATTTAAGACTGGTATTAATTTCAGGAACTGACGAGCTCAATGAGGTGTTTTTGCAGTTGAACCCTACATTGCAGCAATTCTTCTTAAATATGTGCAGAGTTTTCAGACAAGTTTGATATAAATAAACACCAGATGAGAACAGAATTCTGCTGGTTTTGACTCCGATAATGTAATTGATAACTGTCTCCTAAATATTAACACAAATCTGTGATTTCCAGTTACATTTTTACAATAAAAATAATTTGCATTTGCACACACAAACACAGACACACACAAAACAAGTTTAGTACTAAATACTTACTTGGGCACATTACAGCTGAGATTTTGCTCTTTACACCCGAACTGAAACGATTTTGTCAGATGAGGTGAGAGAAGTACGGTGGGCAACAAGTGCAAACGAGCTGCAAACAGCTAAACGCACATCAAATATTTAAAACGTATTGCAAACACACAAATGATGCAAATTCCAAAACAAAAAAACAAATGCAACAGAAAAATGCCCCAAAAGGAAAAACCTGCAATCACAGAAAGTAAAAGAAACGTTCTACCAAAAAAATGAATGCAAAGGAAAAATGCTGAAAATACCAAAAAACACTAAAAATAACACAAAACAACTGCAAGTAAGAAATACTGCAAACTCCAAAAAAAATGGAAGTTCACCAGACCACTAGTGAGACTCGATCAAAAGTCACATGGGACCAAACCCCTGTAAATACATTACAGCTGAGTGGCCACTGGCCAAAAATTGACTTATTTTAGGAGTTTTAATTAAACTTTTTTTTTTCATTTACCCTTTATTTATCCAGGTAGTCTCATTGAGCCATGATAACTCATATTCAAGAGAGACCTGTTTAGGGAGCAGATGGTGGGGGTTAGGGGCCTAGCTCATGGGCCCAGATTGGGGCGAATGAGGGTGGAGGGAGGCGTGGGTGTTTCACCTTTTCCACCCACATTTTGATGTTGATGGTACCGGGAGGTGAACCTGCGACTTTCCGATCACAAACCCATCTTCTAACCTCTGCGCCACCGAGTACTTAAAGCTTAAACCTATTTTTTTTAAAGAGAAATGCTTTCTGGTTATTTTACGCCTGGTTCCTATTCTCTATACCTGCTGCCGCTTGGTGCTATTTTCCAGAAACACAACATGTCCTTCCACTTCTACGCCGATGACTGTCAAATTTACTTCCCATTAAGACACAATGGCACATGCTCTATTCAACCTCTGCTCGACTACCTAGCTGACATCAGGGATTGGATGGCTTTAAATTTCTTAAGTTTCAATGAAAAGAAGTCTGAAGTCATGTTGTTCCCTCCCAACGACACAATCACAAACCACTGCATCGACCTCTCCGCTCTAACCCTGTCAGAAAAACAAAGAGTCACTAATCTGGGCGTGATAATGGACCCTTCCCTGAAACTTAACAGTCACATAAACATGATTGTTAAATCATGTTTCTTCCAACTGAGGCGGCTGTCTAAACTGAAGCCCATATTGTCCAAAAATAACCTGAAGACAGTAATACATGCATTCATTACATCTAGGCTTGATTACTGCAATTCATTCCTGTTTGGTATCAGTCAAACCTCCATTGCACGACTACAACTGGTCCAGAATGCAGCAGCCCGATTTTTAACCAGTACAGGCAAAAGAGAGCACATTACACCAGTTTTGGCCTCCCTGCACTGGTTACCGGTTCATCTTAGAATCCAGTTCAAAATACTCATGTATGTCTACAAGTCGCTGAACAATTTCGCCCCCTCCATCTCTCTGATCTGCTACAACCGTATGTCCCACCATGATCCATGAGGTCAGCGGACCAGTTGCTCCTCACAGTTCCAGGAACTCGTCTTAAGCACAGAGGACAGGGCCTTCTCTGTAGCAGGACCAAGACTCTGGAACGAGTTACCTCTGCTTGTCAGACAGGCCCCCTCCCTCTCGGTTTTCAAGTCCCATTAAAAAACCCACTACTATTCGGTAGCTTTCAACACCATATGATCTGTTTGAACCTGTATGCTCCACACTGGTTAGTCGTCATTATCTGCATTGTTTTTATGTCTATATTTCTGATTTACTTCATTTTGTATATTGCTTTGTGTGTTGTCTGTTGTTCTGTCTGTACAGCACTTTGGTCGGCCTTGTCACTGTTTTAAGTGCTCTATAAATAAAATGGTATGGTATGGTTGTACAAAATCAGAGAGCTGGGGCTGAAATAGTCTTGAGAAGGATGGTACCAATAATTTATGGCAAAATCTTAAATATCACTGATTAGGCTAATAAAGTACCAAGTTTAACTAAAAAAACATATTTTTTGTCCAACTGTATCTTTAATATATTGGCATTAAGGTAGTAAATGTTTACGTAATAAAGATTATTAAACTTGCTTGAAAATTTAGAAATATAGTTTTTAAAAATTAGCCTGTTTTGTAAATTGATAAAGAACTTTTAGACTGATCCAAACACAAATATCAGTGATATAGGCACATAATATACACTAAAATTATTAGGAGCATTTCTACATAACATAGGCAGATCTTAGAAATGTGCCAGATCATCTTAGCTGTACTTACTGCTTGTTTTGATAACCGTACCCCATATTTCCAATTTCGTATTGTGGCAAAATTAAATTATGCTTTCTTTTTCATGCTTATCTTAATATAATGTCTCTGGTTTTCCTATGAATGAGCAAATTACTTGATTTAAAGCCATTGTCTTGCCAATGTTTAATTTTCTGCCTTTCTTTATACTGAACAGCAGCTACTTTATGT